TCAGCAGGGGCTCTGGAGACTCTGCCCAAGAACCCGGCGCTGAGGGGTCCTGTCCCCGCGCCCTCCACACTGGTCTCATCTATTGTCCAAGTGGTGACCTGCCCCTCCAGGTGGGGGGCATGTTTACTAAGGAAGTGGGGCACCTCCCTCTGACACGCCCAGGATGCTGACACGGGGGACCCAGCAGACTTACACAAAGCTCACGGCCCAGGCCCACAGCCACTGCTGTCTAACAGAACGGGGCTCTGCCCGCTGATTCCTGGATGCTCAGAGCTGCAAAGGACCAGTCAGCCCACAGGGGTCAAGGGTGGAGCGGGAAGGAGCTTGTCCAAGTCCAAAGAGCCCAGTTAGCACCCTGGGCACACACTCGCCTCAGGGCAGAGCCCAGTTAGCACCCTGGGCACACACTCGCCTCAGGGCAGAGCCCAGTTAGCACCCTGGGCACACACTCGCCTCAGGGCAGAGCCCAGTTAGCACCCTGGGCACACACTCGCTTCAGGGCAGAGCCCAGTTAGCACCCTGGGCACACACTCGCTTCAGGGCAGGGGTCAGAGCACAGGCTCTGGAACTGGCACCAGGGGTGTGAGTCCCAGCTGCGTGCTTTGGACAGTTCACCTAACCTCTTTATGCCTCAGTTTCCCCCTCTATAAAATGGGGATGCAGAATCCTGTAGGATCTTCCTCACAGGGTAGTTGTGGGATTAAAAAGGCTAACACAGCGCTTCCCCGGTGGCGCAGTGGTTGAGAGTCCGCCTGCCGATGCAGGGGACACGGGTTCGTGCCCCGGTCTGGGAGGATCCCACGTGCCGCGTGAGCCACGGCCGCTGGGCCTGCGTGTCCGGAGCCTGTGCCCCGCGGTGGGAGAGGCCACAACAGTGAGAGGCCCGCGTATCGCAAAAAAAAAAAAAAAAAAAGGCTAACACATAAAGCACTCAGCGTGGTGCCGGCTAGGCAGCCTTCTGCCTGTGTCATTAAGTTATTCCCAGTTCTGGTCTAGACTTGTGAGCAGCAGAAGATTCTGACCCTGGAGAAGTCCTCCAAGCGGGTAGGCCCTCCCTGGAGGCCCCAAGCGCAGGAGCGTGTGCGCACGCTGTGGGGAGGGCGCTGGACTGGTGTCTGGAGACAGGGGTGTGAGCACCTCTCTGAGCCAAATTCCATTGACTGTGACTCTTGTAGAGTGAAATAACATACAGGATTAATAAGACATGTGTGGGGAGCATTTGACAAAACCTTTCACACGCGCAAGCTCTGATTATGACAAGGATTTGTGGTCGATGTGAGCACAAACCACTCTGACCCTCGGTCTCCTCTTCTAGGAAGAGATCTGAGCAGCGGGCATTAAGTCAGGACGATGCCTCTAGCCCGGGTCTCTTAACCCTGTCCAGGTCCTAGGGCTGAAGCTTCAGGTTCAGTCTAGCCCCTGGCTTTCTGTGTACACTGGGGGCTCTCTTACTGCTGGGGAAGCTGAGAGGGACATTTTGCTCTCTGTCATTCTCACCTCCCTCTTCAAGGCACTGAGGAAATCGGGGTGGAGGTGAATGCCCAGAGTGGGCCTGGAAGCAGCTTTGGGAGGCTGTTCCTGAGGGCCACTGGCAGCATCGATACCAGCAGGGTGGGGGGCTGACCCTCAGGCATCACATATGACACCCATGTAAGCCCAGACACAGGCAGACCGCCACGGCTTTGGTGACAGCATCATGCAAGCTGCAGCTGGCAGCCGGGCCAAGAGCTTTCAGCAAAGATATTTATCTTCCTGGCAGACAAATAAGTTTTATGTTTTGGGTTTTTTTTTTTAAGGAGAAGAAATCCCACCCAGCCTCACCAAAAATAAACATCTCTGTTATGCAACTTCCTGGAGGCTAGACTGGGGAGGGGGGACAGCCCCTGCCCCCTCTGCCCTAGCACTGCTCCCCAGGCCCCATCCCATGACCCCGTAGACCCTTACCGTATCCTCTGGCCTTCAGCCTGGGATCGGGACCACCCCATACAACAGTAGGGGCTGGGCCATGCAGGGGAAACTCCATGTTATAAAAAGCAAGTGTTGGTAGGGACCAAACTCCTCATGTCAAGTCAGGGGAAACTGAGGCCAGAGACAGCGGGAAATGTGCCCTAATTAGCGACAGAGTGCAGCCTCTCAGCCCTTGGTTGATCCTTTACTCCTACCCATGGTCTCGCGGTCTTTCCTGGAGAGAGAGGTAGGACCAGAAGGAATCCAGGGGCCTCATAACCAAGAGGCTTGGTCTGTGCATCCTGGGGTCAGAAGGACCAGCCCCAGAGGAGGAGAGAGTGCGGATGTGGCCTCTGGGAGAAGCTCCCCAGCGTGGGCTGGTTCTAGGCTCAGCTCGGGGAGAGGCGGCAGAATGTCGTCTTCCAAGAAGAGGAGTAAGAATCCAGTTTCCCCCCCTCCAGCCACCCACTGAGAGAGAGCGAGTGGGTCAGGAGTGGGGAGACGGCATGGCGTGTGCAAAGACCACCAGACCGAGAGATGGGAGACCTGTTCATGGTCCCGGCTCTCCCAAAGTCTGCCTGAGATTTCAGAGGATGCCTTTTATGTCCCAGAGCCTCATCTGCACACGGGAGCAGGCACGCCCTGTCTGGTGTCACAGCTTTGGCCAGGTGGAGTAAGTAGCCCTCCCGCCTTAGAGACCAGTGGGACCTTCCCCTTGGGATCTGGAGTGAGGAGAAAAGGGGAGAGGCTGGGGCCGTGTCTGTCCAGGCGAAGGTCAGCTCACTGGAAAGGCTTAGAGATGAAGGGATTCTGGCAAAACTGAGGTTTCTCTGGTCCTTGAAGAGGGAAGGAATCTTCCAAACCTCCATCTTGATTACTGATCATCTTGCTTTAAATTCTGAGGTTGGGCCCCTCATTTAGACAACAAAGGAAAATTCCCCAAGGTTCTGACCCAACTGGTCAGAACGACAAGCCAAGGAAGTCCCTCTCAGGTGCTCAGTGCATCAGTTTCCACCTCCTGCCACCCTACAGCATCTCTACAAAGTGCTATCATCCAGACTTTGGTGACAGAGAGCTCACTGCCCCCAGGACAGCTGGACCATCTGTCCTTAGGTCCAGCCCGTGTCTGTCTCCTGTAGGGTCTGGCTCATTGGTGCTGGTTCAAAACCTCCTGGGGCCTTTCCCAAGCCAGCCCTGCGGACATCTGGAGAGGGCTGCCACGCCTCTTATCTTCCATCCTCCTGAGTAAATAATTACAGTTCCCACTGCTCTTCTGCAAGAGGCCTGCTTGAGGCAGGTGGGTGCCAGGGATGGGACGGGTGATGGTGTTGGGCTCTGGGCAAAGCCAGCAGAGCGCTCTGCGACTAGATGATCCAGAGGGGCCGGGTGGAGACTCGGTACCTTGGCCCGAGGCCTGGCGCTGGTCAGGGTCCAGCTCGCTCTGTGACTCCCTCCTCAAGACGGCCACTGAAAACAGGGGGCCTGAGACTCAGGCTGAATTACTCCCGAACAAAGGAAAGCACTGACCTCCTTGGTCTCCCTCACCCCCACCTCTGTCCACCTGCCTGGAATGTCCCTTTTTTTCCAGCTGACCTCCAAGGACCAATCAAGCACCAGCTCCTCCAGGAAGCCCTCTCAGACTGGGGCAGTCATGGAAACCCCGCCATCCAATTACTGACTGTGTTTTTGGACTAGTATATAATCAAACCCCAAATGTCCAGCTCCTCCTAGAGAATCAGTTCCCTGAGGGTTGGGACCTCATGCCATTTGTCCCTTCTCAGCCCAGGGCTCAGCCCAGGATGGGACAGGCAGCAGACAGGCAGGAAGAGGTTACTGAAGAATCAACGAACAATTTCTAACAAACAAACATTACTGAGCTCTCACTCTGTCCAGCTACCTCTGTGCACCTACCGTGTGCCAGTACCTATAGGGTACGTGCAGAGATGTTTGTTGAATGAATGCATCCTCGTAAACACTGAGGAGAAAGGTGGTGAGGATACATGAGAAAAAGGCACATAGTGACGAATGCCTCCATCAGAGGCTGACAGCTGAAACAGAAGGAGGAGGTGAGATCACGGAGGGAGAGAGGAAAAGATGGAGGACGGAAGGAGGGAGGGAAGAAGAAAGGAGAGGAGAAAGACCAGGCAGACATAGAAGGATGTCTCCACGCCGCAAGCAAGAGGGTCAGGGCGGTAGAAAGAGAAGCACAGAGATGGGCTTCACGGAGCGGGGCTCTGGGATTGAAATGTCCAGGAAACCCAGTCCAGCATCTGCCAGGAACCAGCTCTGCATCCATTGTGCTGCTATACTGGGAGAGAGAAAAGGCCACTGGGATCTCCCAGCTTGCCCCGCTGCTGGGCCCACCTTCTTGAGACCCAATAGCATCTGGCACTGGCATGAAGCTGAGGAGCAACAGAGCCTCTTTGGGTCCAGGCCACCTGCCTGCCTGGCTGGCTTCCCCCCATCCTCCCTGGGGCAACCCCCTGTGGACTCTGGCCTGGTGCTATGCTGACACCCCGCCCAGAGTGGGAAGGGATCCCTGGGCCGGCTTTGTCCCAGGCTGTGTGGCCCAAGACAACGTAATCGCAAGCTGCA